TTGAGGCTTGAGAGAGGACTTAAAGCTTTGAAAAGTAGCTAATGTCCAACATCATCCCTATTACAGCCACCGGTTGTCAGCCGTCATTCACCGCCATCGAATGTTGCTGACCGTCGTAGACACCCACCAACCGACGTCAATTACTGTCAACTGTCGCTGACAGCCGTCAACCACTGCCGACCATCGTTGAGCATTACTGTCGTCGTCAACCACCATCAACCACCGTGAACCACCGTTGACCGTCATTGATCATCACCAACTGCTGTCGACCACCGCTGACCGGAAGCCATCAGTCAACGTTGTAACTTGGAAAACCTAGTAACATTTTCTCGTATGTGGGATAAAGGGTATTTGTAATCATCAACATGTAATTAATTTTTACAACTTTTATTGTCATTACTGGTTGTTTTCTTTTCCCTAGGTGTGTGTTGAATTCTCGTGCAACGCTGAAAAATCCATTACTCTTACTGTCGTGGATTTTCTAGCACGCATTAAGGATGAATATATTCTATCAAGATATGCTTTAGAATGATAACACTTACATAATTAACTTATTGAGAGATTGTTATATTTCTACCACTTTCAACGGGACCGATTTGAGAGACAAAAGCTACAACTAATGAGATTAAAGCTCCCCCAACCTTGGTATATTGACTTGAGAGTGTCCCGCTTACAAGCTGGATGGGAGAGCATCTCCCGCTTTGATGCAGGACTCATGCGTGGAGAGTTCTCGTGATTCCAGCGCCTGTGCCGACTGACCAAGGCAAGGGGAGAGTCGTTCGGCTATTCCTCTTAGGTTTAGCACCTTCTTTCAACTATAGGCCAAAGTTAATTATTTAGGACATATATTTGCTTCCTAAGTTTTAGGGTCTGTTTGGGGCAGCTGCAGCTTATTGAATAATCTGCTGATAAGTTGATTAAAAATAATCTGTTGATAAGCTAGGTGCAATGGTTATTAAAAATTTTTATTTTCTTGGAAAAGTCAGACCGCTGCCAGAAAGCTCCCACCACACCTAGATAGGTGCGGTGTGAAAACGCTACTTTCAGCGTTTTCAAAATGCAGTTTACCCAAACAGTCCAGGTGCATTTTCAAAACGCCACCGCACCAAATAAACTGCCCCAAACAGACCCTTAGGTTTTTAATTTTCGGTGAGTTTTTTATCGAGAAAGTCGACAGCGTCTCTTTTCCCTTCTAGGGCAGTATACAAGGGTCGAGTGGTGCACTATATCTCACTCTTGAGGGGTTCTACTTTTCCCCTGCATCCTTTTTGTCACTACCGCCGTCATCTTTTCTTGCTGTAGCCTCCTATGCGTATATTGCTGAATTTCTGCAGTTCCAGCTCTCGCTATAACCTTCCCCTCCCTCCGCTTTGCTGTCGCAGCAGTCCTAGCCCATTAACATCACTGCGGCTGCTGTCCAACTGTCCTGTACCGCTGCCGTCAACCAGAAACGCCTTTGCCTTACTGTTTTCTTGCAGCCATCAGCCTCCCAGCCGTCTCCCCCTTCCCTTCTTGCATTGCTGCCACCCAAATTGCCCCCTCCAGCCTTGCTCCTACTGTTCCAGCCTCCTACCTTACCACCGCTGCGCAAGACAGCCAGGGATCACCTCCTTCCTGTGTTTCACTACTAACCACCCCAAATCCTCACTGCAACCATCCAGGACAGTTAATCATACTTTTTCTTCTTGTATTTTTACACCTCTCCCTCTCTACTACCAGCATTCCTTTATTGCTGCCACAACCGCTTGCCATTTCAATCCACTTAACCAACTTCCACCAGCCTTGGGGTACATTTTAGCGGTGTTTGCTTGTGTATGTTGTATTTCTCTTTTAAGTGTGTGGTTGTAATCACATTTTTGCTTTTCATTAATAACATCCGCTTTAATTTTGCTGTTTTATTTACATTTTAAGAGTAGAATATAATCATTAAAATTAGGAAGAGCACACACCCCAAGGCTAGAGGCTGGACATGAGAAGAGCTAAAAATTTAATAATTAAAGAAGACAATGTGATGGGGAGTTGCAAAATCTTCTGGTGCATGGATCATAACAAACATAATCTTTGTGATGGTGATATAACTCATAAATGTACATTTAATAGATTGAGTATAAAGTTGATGGCTTTTATGGGATGGTAAATAAGCGAAGCCGCCCAAATGTCTTGAGTATTATGACTGTTGGGATGTACATAACAAAGCAAATAATGGAAGTCAAAGTTCCTAAAATGAGATTGCAATCTATTAACTAAATAGGCTATCATGCTCGAGCCTTCAGCATAAAATTTTGTTGGAACAAAAGGTTCAAGCAACAAAGTTTGAACAACATTTAATGGATGGTGATTCTTACATTCAAAAACATCATTTTGTTAAGGTATATATAAACATGATCGCTAGAAAGCAAACCACTTTTTTGAAGAAATTCATGGGATTTAAGTGACATTCACTTGAATCTTAGTACTTTGATCTTGGAGGAGAATTATGTTTCAACATAGGCTAAAATTTCTAGAATTTAGTAAATACTTTAGATTTCTATAAAAGGAAATAAACCCACTTATTTTTATTGTAATCGTCAATGAATCACAAAATATTTATAATTTGTATGTGATATAATAGTAGTATCCTGGGCATAATTTTGGATTAAATCATAATAGTTTTCAAGGTGACTATCTTGCGATGGAAAGATGAAGAGGCTTGTTTTTCCTAATTTTGCATGTTAAGCGATCAAATAATAAGATGAAAGGGAATTGATCTTTATTTATCAACGAATCAAAGTTCATCAAATATGATAAAATAGTAAAATTTGGCTTACCTAAGCGCTTGTGCCATAGTTCTTTATTTTGATTTATTGTATTATAAGATGATGAGACAACCTTAAATAGAGGAATTCAGTGGGAATAAATTTTTAACTTCAGACATCTTTATTAGTATTTTTCTCACCGCTTGATCGTGCATGTGGCAGCCATCACAAGTAAATCATCATAATTATTATCATTCAAATTTTCTATTGAGATGTGATTAGTAGAAAGCTTGGGAGATGTGAGGCCTACTTTTCTATTAATCGATATTTAACTACCATTAGCAATCTAAATAGAGCTTGATCCCTGGTATGGTTGAATATTGCGATGATATGAGCAATCAGACATATGTCTGAATACACTAGAATCTATAAGTCAAGATAAAGGAGCTAGAAAGTTCGTTAACTTGCAGCCCTAAGCTTAATAAGGCTTTGATAATCATTTATTAAACCATTTTCTTAGCAAGAGTTAATTTCTCTACAACCAATGACCTGATCAACAAGCACTTTTTTAGCATTCAGTTAGAAGATTCTGGGGATGAGTATGGCATTCGTTAATGTTGTATCACGTATTTGTACAATAATTTTATGTTTTTTATTACAGTTGAAAGCACTATGCCTGTAGCCTATGCGCCTGAAGCATTTTACCGACTGCATATCTATTCCTTTACCTTTCTAATGAGCTGCATAAGCAATTGCCTACTTGTGCAATTTATGTTGTTGAAAGGTGGTGATCATCACAAAATGTTGCTCTTAGGAAGTGGTACTTTGAAAATCATGTTCTTAGAAGAAGAGTCATAATTCCCTAACTTGGAGCAAATAGCCACAAATTAAGGAAGAAGTTTCATAAAAGGATTAATAATTTTCTGTTGATTCAGGTGGAACTTTATCATAAATCATTTCAACCCAATTTGGTTCATAAATTTTAAAACGTACAAAAATCAGCTTGGACGGAGAGATAGGCTTGTGTGCAACTAACAATCTCATGCTCTTATCGGAAATTTTCAATTGCATAATGTTGATTATAAATTTTTTATAAATATTCTCAAGTTGTCTTATATGACTTTTGATTGAGAGCAATTGTGTGATCATCCGAACTTAAAGATTTGTCTCATGAAATTTGCCATAGACTTAGGGTTTGTTTGGGGCAGCTGCAGTTATTTGAAGCAACAGCTATGAAGTTGCTGCATAAGAAATTGGTTCGAAAAGTGTATATTTATTTAATTTTCAAAAATTCAGATTACAACTTTCTGACAGCCACCACACTTTAACAGCTCAAGTTGAGAAAATCACATACCTATCATAAAATTTTTAAAATGCAGCAAGAAAACAGTTCTACAAACAAAACTGTGGTGACGGTCTGAAAAACAAAGTAGACATTCAGTTGTCCAAAACAAACCCTTAATTTTTTAGACCTAATGGGTACAAGAACACTATCATCAATTTATCTGGATAATATATTTCACTGACAAATAGTCAGAATTAGATTTATTGGGTAGAATTATTGTTATTTGTGAGGGGTAATGCCAAAGATACCTATCTTTTGAGCTAGAAATGATGCATAATCTTTTAAAAAAACTACCATTATAAGTCCAAAGAGAGTTGATTGCCAAGAGGAAAGATTTCAAAAAGAAATTGATGTCAAATAAAACACCTAGTAGCCGTAGTCTTTTGATAAAAATCAAATTGTTCTAAAAAAAATGAATGGAACATAGACTGCACCTACTCGTTCATGGAGTAAATTATGATAAGATCTTTAGCCACATTACAAATGTTCTCACTACTATTCTTTGAGAATTAAAGACTCTTGTAAGATGGGAGATGTGCAGTGCTTTAAGAGAGTTGGAGATTAAAGGCATTTAGGCAAGGGCAATATCAAAATGGAACCGAGATTTGTTGAAGTTGACGTAAGATGAGGATGAGAGAACAGGGCATGTATTAGTCAAGGGAACAACAGTTCGATGAGAACGGCAAGCTATCCAAAATGAGATGACTCTGATGCCATGTCAATAAGCGTGGTAGCTACTAAATACGTTGCTATGTTTTGTTTTTATGAGGAAGTTGGGTAATTTATTGCTATGCTTGATGTTTTCTATGAGTAATTAGACATATGGTTTACTGCTGTATAATAATCAGATATAAATTTAACCGTTACATTTTGAATATTCTTGTTTAACTCTGACTCCAGTAGTCTACTTCTATTTTCAGTCACCTACAGAGGCATCAGCTCCACTTCTCTGGCCACCAATTCCACATCCATCTTCCCATTCTATTCGATTCTCAAATCCATCTGAGCAATTGCAAAGCCTTCCTGCGGATGTGTATGTTACTAACGTCAGTCCAAATGTTTCTCATTCTGCCGCTGCTGATTTGCCTGATGAGCTTGGTTTGTTGGAGTCCACAGCTTCTAATTCTGCTGATGCAAATCCCATCCAACCTTCAAGAAACCCTGCAGCAACTAGCGGCATTAAGGACCTAAATGGCATGCCAAGTTCTGCAAATTCTTTTGTTAGCCATGGTGAGGATGGTAGAATTGGGGGCATTCAGAGTCTGGTGGCCCAACAAACAATTTCACCTGTCCCGCAAAACCTTGCTCCGATCGGAAAGGCTGATCAACCAAAAGGCGCTGTTCAGAAGACTAGCTTTGGTAGCAGTGAATGGCGCCAGAGAAATACATTCCCGGGAAAAAACCGCAATTTCGGCTCCAACAAGAATACTGGTTCCACCAAGGTGAAACAAATTTATGTGGCTAAATCTCTGTCAAGCTGAACCAAGATGTGTATCAAAAGCAATAGCGGCTAAAGTTTTAGTCAAAATTTTTGGTAACAGATCCTGGAGAGAGTTTTGTTGTTGTCTACGGAAGGAAGCCAAGGCTGGGTTCTCTGCATCCATATTTTCTGCCGCTAGTTAACAGAATAGTTTTTTCTACAGAATAAACAGATGCCTTTGTTTGTAAGCGGCTGTGGTTGGGTGGGATACTTCTGTGCTAATATGGGATCCAAAGGGGCTGCTTTTGTAGCTGAATGAATTTGGTGTTTTTTATTGTTTGGAATGACAATTCTTATATGTTAAAAGGTAATGTTTCGTTCTTTGGATGCTGCAGATGAAATATTCAAATTTTGCTGTTATAGCACAGAAGGGTCAGAATTTTTTTGTAGAAGAATTTGTAAGGGATTGCAATTGTATTGCCCAGTTATTATTATGTTAAATTTGCAAGATATCATTCCTTCTTCTCTCATTGATCATATAAGAACTTGGGAGTAGGATTTGAGTCTTAATCAGAAGCCTCCCATTTGCGATCTTCTTCACTGCACTGGCAAGGAAATTTGCTGAATTGACTCTTAATTCATTCTTTTTTTTTTTTTTGGGCATTTACATACATACAATACAACTCTTATGTATTTACATTATCTAACTCCTAAATTTTAATTTTTATAATTATGACATTCAAATCTCTCACATCACATTAAACAGAAACCAGTCGAGTAATATATACACATACCATCATGTAAATTTTCAAAATTCATTAGGACATTTAATTTTCAAAATTATTTAATACATTTATTTTTCAAAATTCTTTACAATATTTAGTAATGTGTAATAAACAAAATATATACATCAACTGTTCGTTCCATAGTAAACTAAGGCAAGCAACTCATGCTGCAAATTCAACATGCATCAATGATACAAACTACAAGCACACCAAAGCTTCAATACAAAACCTCTTTGATGTCAGAAGATGAAAAAGAAAATAAAATCAACTTTTATTTCTTACATATCAACATACTGCTACTCATTTCTAACGCTAGCTAACATATTGCAGACAAGCTTGCGTCAACTTTATATACACCGCAGTTGATGAATTTATTCAAAGCCAGTAGATGAAATTTCAGCGGTTCATTGCTGAAATAAACTAAATCCAGTGGCCAAACTACTCCGAAGCTCAACCATTATTAAATCCCAGACCTTCAGGCTCCTTGTGATTGTAGTCTGAAGGTTCATCAATTTTCTGCTGCCTGATTGTTCTGCTGAATTCTGCTTCATTCTCTTTCAAAAAATCACTTCTGTGGCTGGATGCAGCGACAGAGTTGCAGGGGACGATCTGAAAATCAAATACAATTTTTAGTTTGAACTTTAGTTTTTTTAATTTGGAAAACAAGCTATATTTAGTGTAAAATGAAATGAATGTATGGAATTACTTGGTCGATGATCTTTGAATGAGTAGATCTCCTTGGTCGCTTTTTACTGCTTGATCTACTCGGTTCTTCTGCTACTTCATACTCAGTATCAACAAAATTTTGATCGGTGACCTCTGCAAAAAGCTTCAGCGCCTTAGTTTATCCACACAGCATTAGCTCCAACAAAAAGCAATAAGCATTTACATGAATGCCACCCAATTATTATGTATTTGCATAACTAACGTCAAAACTTTGTTCTTTTAGATCATATCACAGAAAAATATCACCACTATAACTTTTAAAAAGTGAAATACTGCTTTTCATGCATAGGTGAGGTGCATGTATGTTAAAGTTTAGGTGTTAAATATATAAATGCATAAGAATTAAGTGATGTACTTGTAAATCTTCCTAAGAATTAGCAAGCAAGTTCAATGAATGAAACTTAAGCATAGTCCCTCTACGGAAATATTGTTTTTTTATTATCTAGTTCGATTACTGTGCCAATTGTAATGAAGTTCAGAAACTAGCAAATAACATGCATAGCTAAGGAGACATTTGGGATTTACTTCCCCCTTTTTTTTTTTCGTTTGGTCTATGTTTGGATATGGAATAAAACATATTTCGCATTAAATAAATATGTTTTATTGAATACCAAATAAATTAATTTATATCATAACGGTAATAGTTATGTTGGCTGCAGCGGAATGTGAATCATTTTAAACACGCTTGAATATTTTAAAAAAGTCTTAAGAGTTTTAAAAACAATCTGTTTGCTTTTGAAAACAAAAAATAAAAACTGTTAAAAACATATCAAACAAATACATTTTTTTAAAATTAAAAACAAAAACAAAAATAAAAAATAGAGTGATCTTAAATAGGTCGTAATTTACATTGCTAAAACCACCATTGTGAGACCCACTTAAACAGATTACATCATACTCTATTAATGGATTCTCAATACACATGCTAATTTGGTCCCATAATTTTAATTGCTCGGTGTATCCTCCTATCACTTTTGTTTGGATCTCATTTCCGCAACTTCACCTACAATCAATCATCTTATTCTCTTTAGCTTTAATTTTTTTAAAGACATTACAAGTAAATGCTGCAACAGTTCATTTTACTAGGCCCTTTGTAGCTAGACTTGGTGGTTTTGGATGTTAAAACATTCTTTCATAGAAATGCGTGTACAGAACCTTAGTTTTCAGTATATTACAAAAAGTGGAATTTGAATAATATTTATTCATACTACTTTTCTTGTCATTTTTTAATTTTCTGAATATTTCAAGGCATAGCCTGCGCTGAAACTTTCGAAATTTCTATCACAAACCCTCCCATCTGGCAATTTGATTCTCCTGGTTGTAATGAAAAAGACCGCTCTATCAGACTTCTCAAAATCATGAACAAGAAGCATTGACTAATATTCTAGCTACTACTAGCCCTTCAATTGTTGATATTGTCATTGAGAATATTCTATAAAATTTTGAAAACTAAAATTTCATCCAATTTGTGAATAGAAAAATAATTATTTACATTATTGGAGTATTCAAAGTATTGATTCCCTAATAGATAAAAGATTTCATATTCTTTATACTAAAGGGTGGAAATCATCAGAAGATTTATCACTACTTTCCTATGTTCAAGCTAATCTATAGATGATCATGTTGTACTTCCCTTGATATCTGGCATTTTCATAAATGCCTTTATTGTACTATTTTCTTTATCTAATTAATAAAAATTTATATTGTTATAAAGCAAAACAATTCTCATGCTACAAAACTAGTGGTATAAACCCTGTTTCCGATGATGTTTGGGATAACCCTTAGGTCTGCTCTCCAAATTTAAATTAGATCAAAAGTTAACATGACTAGATGTTGATTAAATGTAAATTAGCACAGATGGAATTAAATTATGATATAATATTCAATAACAATGAATAAAAAAGAAATTATAAAAATAAACTTGAGTAGTTTAAGGAGGGTAACAATGAAAATGAAGCACACACACACACATAAAAAAGGTGCTTATTCGCTAGAAAGTAATCAAGATGATCTTAAATTAAGAAAAAAACAAAGTACGTCATTGACATGTCATCTTACAGAAAACAAATGAAACAAAATAATAACTTTTCTATGTTGCCAATCAAATTTTATGTGTTCTATGTCAAAAGAGAGGAAATAGTGAAAGATATGTAGAAATGGACATATTTCTATGATGACCTCCAATGGTATCATGTTTCTTAGGTTTTTCTATACGCTTTGCAGATAGCCTATTCAACATTGGAAATAAACAGATATTTTGACCCAAAATTACATGGAAAGGAAAGAGAGAGGAGTTTGAGAAACAAAAATAGATAGATTGGGTATGAGTTAGCAACGAATCTCTGATTTTCCAAGGGTGATTTACATCTAATAGAAATTAGAGTAGGGTCCATTGACAGTGAACTAAATATGGAATCGGGAGGAGTTAGAAGGCCCGTATAAATTGTCTTCTCCTTGAAGTGTGATAACAAGACTATCAATGAATGGAGCTTTCAAAAATTACCCAACTATTAACAATTTATCTAAGAATCACATTCCTAATCCAAGTAGTATGTACCACTCATACATGAATTTGACTCTTCAAATATTCTGTGCGCCTCGGTCTCTTAAATAAAATCAAGAATTTACATTGCACTTAAGACTTCAAATGTCAATTAGTTTATTTTCAAGATGCCTTTAACTATTTCTATTTTCCTACAAGATTCGTATGGTGCTCTTCAATCATCCAAATCTAATGCATAATAACCATTGGAAAAAAACCCATGAATTTAATAGTAATGGAAAAAACCCATAAATTTAATAGTCAATGGAAGACGCAAATAGTAGTCCCGTAAAGTAGCACAAAAAAAGACTACAAAATCAACGTTGTCCATTTTAAGTACTTAAAGTTTTTCAATCAAGCTTTAACATAAGATTCACGAATCTGCTTTTATCTTATTTTTATGGCTTCATTGCATTATCAACTTATTGAATTTGTAATTTCCATCTAAATTTTCGAAGTACCTTAATTAGGCTCATTTTCATCATCTCAAATTTTATGCCACTTTGCTCAAATTAAACCTTAGTTCCTATCAAATTAGAACCATCTATATACAATGTAAAAGGCAAAATATCTTGTCTTCCCGTTATAACAAATATGTGCTCATGAGAACAAAACTATTAGATTAAACATTGCATAAATGTAAGTACTTCACGCACAAGGCATTACTTGAAGTCATAAATTGTGTTATGCGTGCTCAACATTTCATGTCCTTTATTATACAAGTGACAAGTTGCTCTGGATAGAACTTTACAATATTAAAAGCACTCTTTGGAAAAGCTATTCTTTTATTTGCGTAAAATTTCTAAAATTTTCCATCAAGCAGGTCAAGTTGTGTTGCTTATAGCCTTTATCCATTCTTTGTATTTTTTCTTATCTTCCATAAGCATTGTTAATAACCTAGTTGATTTATATATATATATATATATATATATATATATATCAGCATACTTTCACTAATTGATTATTCGATAGTGCTTGAGCCGACCAAAAAAAGATATCAAAATGTCAAATGTCATTGCCAAGAAGCATCAAACATTTAAGTTTGACATGCTTTACTTTTAAAAAGAACATTTGATTCTTAATTTTAATTATTATTTGAACTCGTAATAAGAGAATTTTCTCTTGTATTCAAATTTATAAATCTTTCTACAAAATTGGCTCATTCCACCATACTTATCAAATAATAGCATTAGAAGTATTAAACCACAAAAAACCTCTTTTGACTGGATGAAGTTTTACTTTTGGACGTGAATTGCTTTGAAAGAATTATAACAAATCATGTGCTCATTCATGGGTCCTCAAAATCCACAAGCATTATCTTATTGCCACACATTTTACATATTGTATTATCTTATTGCCACACGGTGGTTGGTTGTAGCGATGGCCTATGGTAGTGCATGGCAGCGGTCAACAAGCTATGACGATAAAGGCAGAGGTGGGTCATTGGCTGCAATGGTTTGTTTAAAAAATAATGAAATCACTTTACACAAAAATTCTTTTGAATACTTCTAAAAACAATTAGATTTGTTTTAAAAAACAAAAAATAAAAATCATATAAAAACACAAATCAAACATAACTTTAAAATAAATAAAAAAATGACTCCAAAGAAACTAATAAAAACATTTTTTTCATTTAAAATTTATATAAAAATAGCATTTGAATGCACCAACCTATAAAAAAATAAGACTAAATATAAGTAGAGAAACAAATAATATTGGTGCAATGAATCCTGTCGTAGATACTGAATTGGATTGTAATGATAATCAAAAGAACAAGAATAATTCAGGCACTGCTAAGACTAAGAGCAAGATTCTACAAAACTCGAAGTTTTTACATGTTTCTCATTTTCAAAAACTTTCTTCATGAACAAATATTCTTCATGATGGATTATTTTCTTCTTTTTAAGTGATTCAAACTTTGACTTCTTTAGAGGGCACAGGAAAATACCCCTCGGACACATCTGGTGGCAGTATATTCATGGTGGTGTTTGTGATTTGTACTTCTATTTCCTTATTATTTAAAAATCAAAATGTACATGGGAACAAATTGCATCATGAAAGTTCCTAAGAATTTTTCAGAATTGTTATGGAATTACGAAATTGTTAGGAAATTGAATTATCATTTCAAGTTCCTAAGAAAAATAAATGTAGAAGAAGCACGCAATCTTCTGCTGGAACTAAATATTACAAAAAGGGAAATATTTCACAAAAATTTGTTATGGAATTACGAAATTTTCAGAATTGGCTAAAGAAAACGGTGTGAAACAGTAATACATTGAACAACTAATAAAATTAGATAATTGTTTAAAATAATTGCATCCTGCAGTTAAAACATCAGCACTGCTACCATAATATAACATCAGTGGAAAAAGCCTATTTGCATGCCTCTTTTTCTGAGAAGTATTAACTAAATCCTATCATTCATTTCATAGTCCGTTTAAAAAACTGATATTATTGAAGAGACCCACTCTGTATTCAACATCGTTCTTTGATAGATGGGGAAATAAATTATTTAATTATAATCTAAAAGCTGGGAAATACCTGCTCGGCTGCTGATAGAACCCTGATGAAACATGAGAGGATAACCAAGTGGAAGCGGCTTTGCACAAGTTCTCTTCTCATTCGTGGGACTGTTTAATTTGATCGATCGACTTGAAAAACCATTATTGTCCACATCAACTGATGCCTGTGGGTGTTTACCAGCAGAAGGTTTGAAGTGCTGAACCCAGGAGTTTGCCGAAAGATGGCGAGATTCATTTCCATTGACTGCTTTGCTCTTTGCCAGATCAAATTTAAAATCTTCCCAGCGGCCGTGCCTCAGAACCTTAAACTGAACCAAATAATTTCTTAGGATGAGATGTTACACAGGATTCTGAAATTACAGATGGCCAATCTGTATGATGATAAACGTACCTGATCAGAATTGTTTTTATTGGGATTTGACTGTGATGAATCTGTCTTCTTCTGGGTTCTCGACAGCCAACCCATAAAATTACCAGAAAGATGTTCTTTACCATATAGTTGATTGACGAATGTTGTTTCCATGGAACTGAGATACAAATTGTGTTTCTCATCTGTCCATTCATTGGAGAGAGAATCAACAACACCCTAACAAAAGGTACAGAGACTTATCAGAAAGAATAAAATTAAATACAAAAAATAAAATGCAAATAAAACCAGCCAGGTGATAGAAGATGTAAGGCGTTGCAAGGGAAAGAAGAAAAGAGAGAGAACAATACAAATTTCATTGATATGCCCCATTTTACTCTAAATACTAGTAAAGTAAGCTAGGTATCAAAACCATAGGCCAGTATTTTGGAAGAAAATACATAAAATAATGAAAGAATAAAAAACATTCAAATCAATTACAGCTATCAAACAATTAGCATAACTATCATAATAATAAATCATACTGAATCAAAATGCAATAGAAATATGGATATTCAGGGTCCAGATTTCTGACATCTCTCAGCTAGCCAACTAACTTCTCAAATGCTAGTTTGAATAATCCCTTGATCAACTTCTCAATTCTATTCTTTTCAAAGATCTAGAACATACTAACCCTGACAATCATAATGTTGCTTCTGTTACTTGCCATTTTCTTATCAAGGAAGTAGTGTCAATCGTCCTAGGTTACCATTACAAATTATGCTTAAAGAGCTTGTTTAATCTTTTCAATTTTTATTATATCATCATTGGTCAGGATTACATCATCAAAATAAAATAGGAAGATTTACATACATGCCACTCAATTCCTCTGTATTTACATATCTAAGATCTAAACTTCAATTTTAACATACATACCACCTTACCTATGCATGTCAATGTGTATTTCACTTTCCAAAAGTTAAAATGTTGGTATTTTTTATGTGATGTGAAAGATTTGGGTTATATAAATGTAAAAAGCTAAGTTTAGGTGTTAGATATGTAAATACATAGAAATTAATGGAAAATGGGTGGCATGTATGTAAATGCCTCTGTAAAATATGAGCATGGTAAATTAATCCACCTATATTAATAAAGCATAGGACGGTTGAATTGAGCTTGTTAGTAAATCAGAAACTCAACTATTGTCTATATTTACCATTCAAAACACCTGTTCTATTTTAAAAGGTAAAGATAGAGAAATGATGCAGATAAGAATGGGAAAAGAATATTCCAATTTATTAAAGGGGATTATCATACATATTCGTGTCGAAAGAGGAATAGGTATACTTCATTTAGTTCTACATTCATTATTGATTATTAAATACTCCATATTAATATTATCTTTAATATTCTTTCTAATTCTTTTTAATAGTTTTAATAGATTCATATTAACAATTAAAGATAGACTTATTAGAATATATCTTTACAATTAGAATTTATAATAGGTACATATATGAAATATAGGTATCCACTCTATGAAAGATTTGAACTTTCCCTCTATTGTTGTTCCTTTAGTGGCCCTACTCTTTCCGGCAATCGCAATGGCTTCTTTATCTATTTATGTCCAAAGAAATAAGAGTGTCTCCACCTTCCATGAAGATTTCAATTCAAAGGAGGACTTTTGAATTCATTATAAGCAACCATATCTTCAGTTATGTAGGATGATCATCAATTATGCAATCAAATCATGAAAATCTTATAACTTCATTTTCCCTCCATAAAATCATGTAATGGTGTGTATTTTAGTGCTTATAAATATAGAATAAATTGTATTAATAAATAATGTTAGATTGAAATGATATAAAGCATTGCTAGTATGCAAAGAAATGTGAAGCTTGATGGCTTCTTCCTATTAAAGCTCTTTGATCAATTGCCAAGGAATATGTTTTGTAACTTTCTTTATGTTATTATTCTGATTTAAATGATAATATATCTTCTTTATTTGTGTAATCTTTATGTTCTCATGGGTAGCCCGCCTCTCATACATATCACACTTTCTAAAACCTTATAAACGGAATGACAATTTCTAATTTGAAATTCTCCTTGAAATTTGACAATAAAATAATGAAGGGCCAAATTTCCATATGCTTTGCCTTCTACTTTGAGTGTTGATTTAATATCCCCATAATAATAAACAAAGAAACAGTAAAATTCTAAAATAATAAATAGATAAGTAGACAACTTTATTATTTTGATACTCTTTAATAAATGTGCCATAAAATTACCTTTATGAAATACATAAACACAAAAATAGTTTTCTTTTTTTATGTGCAATGCCTACATCACATTTACCCGTCTATAAAAGAAGTATTTAATCTCAAGCTAAGAGATGAAACTAATGTACAGGTTTCCAATATAGGCCCAAGTGCAATTCTATTGAATTTGAATGAGATAAGTAGACAACTTCATTATTTTGAAATTCCTGCCGTCTGTTGTCTCATTTAATTTAATATTTTTCCTTATGATGCTTCCCTTCTCACTCCCTCGATGAATTACCTTTTGCCTAGTAGCTTTAAACAAAGCTCGTATAGATTAGTGAAATTCTGCAGGCCACCTAGTATACTGCATTCATATCTAACCACAAATCAAAAGCAATAAAAAGACTTATTCTAACATGAATATCATAATGTATACGACACTAGCTTACTTTATCAAAAATATGTTTTCCTTAGCATGCAAGCATAGATCATCAATATATCAATATTTTAAGACAAACTCTCACATAACAGGTGAAAAGGAATATAAGCTCCATCTGAATTCATGAAGAAAGCAAATAAGCCTGCCTTTCTTTACAGTAGCTACCAATAGTATCATTTCTTGACCCTTTAATTTGAACTTTATTGTCAAGTATGCTGATATGCACCTTTCATTCAGTACAGTGTATTAATCAAATGATGCTCTCTGTTTTCTAAAGTATAAGCTATTCACATATGCATTGTATATTTAAAAGGCTGCCTATTATCAGTAAAAGTTAACTATTATCTCATTACTTTTCTGAGTTTAATGTCAATATAATCAAGTCATAAACTTGAGTTTCTAGTTTTCAATGCAGGTTTATCATTAGTCTGTTCTTAATAATCATATATGTCTTGTCATATTGGAGGTTTCCAGATTTATTACTCAATAGGATAAGCTGTGCTGCTGTTACAATGGACACTACCATGAATACTGAAAGCTCCAAGTAGTGTTCCTATAAACAAATCAAAATGTTGTATTTATGGCTTTTATTGTAATTAGGAGTAATTTAGTATTTTGGCTTTATTTACTTGAATGTCTTAATTCTCCTTTATAAAAGGTACTTGGGTTTTACGAGAGGGGTATGATGAGAAGTGTAGAAATTGTAACCCCAAGCCGTTTTCTTTCTCCCCATCCCTTGCTGGTGAAATCTACCTCCCCGTGGACTTAGATGAATCGATTTAATACCGAACCATATAAATCTTTTGTATTAGATTGTTGTTGTGTGAATTTTTTCATTTCTGCATTATTTTTACGTGACACAAAAATTTGGTATCAATTTTGAATTCAATAAACAATTTCAGAATTCTGGAAAACATTGAAAGTTCTATATAATCTTAAAAGACATGCAATCATTTCAACTTCTCCACTTAAAATGATGGGAGAAGACTAAGGCCCTGTGCATGCTCCATTTACAGATTGAGAATAGATACCAGTTACCAAAATATTAGCATTAGTCCCATAGAGTCATCCATAAGGTCTTATAGCAAAGAAATTTTTGTAGGCTGTTCTTCTTAACTTTACAACTATCTACTCAACAAATATTCACCAATTTAGCATACAATTTAAGTGTAAGTGGAATTAAAAGTGATCAAATTGTTACATTGGAGGATCAAGTGACGCATAAGCATTAAATTTAGATTTATCGGAGGAACAATTATACAAAATAATGGATATCGGAAGACAACCTCAAAATTAAAGCTAAGTAGTCAAGATGAAGAAAGCCCCTTCTATGATGAGGTATATTCAAAAGGTCATAAGCAAAACGCCATGAATGACAATCAAGGCAAGCGAACAAAAAAGAAGAATTGACAGAGGCAAACCCAAATAGGCGTCACGTGGCCAATGATGATACGATCAAGAATGAATCTATAGCCATTAATACTCTGGATAGCACAAATCTTGCAAGTTAGGGCATGCATTTTTACCAGAATGAGATAAACAGACTAATAAACGTATTGAGTACATCCGTATTCGATTCACCATCAGATCGTCACACAGACAAAACCCTCGATCTCAAAAAAAAACAACGAACAATAAAAAAATTAACAAAAAACATCCACTTCATTTCTCCAATAGAATCAACCTATAGAAGCTTAGGAGTAGCAGGCAGCAAGATCTCACATTACGAAATTGCAAAAAACAAAAAGAACATAAGAGAAAAAATGACACTTAACGAATACAACGACATTTCCACAACTAAAAGAAACAAATCCAATTACCGATCTAGGGTTTCTGATATCAAAGTTCTCCACTGGGGAAGAACGATCCGGCTGCTTCAGATTGCGGCCCTCCATTAATCAACCCCTAAGAAGCTACCAAGCATCCTTAACCAAGAAACTTAGATGTGTAGTAAGAAAATATTAGTGAAAATAAAGCGAAGAAGAGCTCAGAACCTCCAAAATCCAAAATTTCTAGTAGTAGATTAATTTCCGGTAGGTAGCACGGCGCAATCGGAGAAATCGATGCGAGGAAAGGAAGGAGCCGAATGAAATTTGCGCGGAAGCTGATCCCGCGTGGCAACGCTTTAACACGTGACAAAGCTAGCGGAAAACACGTGGCGAATATTGTCCATGAGTCACCTCTGTGTTCCCTGATATTTTGGGAGGGGGGGCGCGCGGGGGAAGAAAATATCTCCACACGTCGCATGCGAGCCAGCACATGCGGCAGTAAATAGTACGTGCGGTCGTGATATTTGCTGCACATGCAGTGCCCGGGGTCCACGTGCATCGCATCTTGGTGTAGATATTTGTTGGGGGCATAGAAAAATTACTGAATTCTGAAATTTTATTTAAATATGATCTTAATGAAATTTCTTAATTTTAATGATGACTTTCTGACTGGTTATACATAAATTTATTAGTAATTTATTAACTTATCATATATTTTATATTAAATATTATTTTTATATCATTTTTGCTCCTATTTTTGAATATTTATTTTGTTTGAGAAGGATAAAATATGAGGAAAAATTTTTTTGAGTAATTTTATGTGAAATGTGTATAGATGGGGAAGTCTATAAAACATCCATCATATCTTAAAACTACCCAAATAGCGACTTAGGTCATATGTGACGTCCAATCATTTTTAAAATTCTTGTTTGGTAACACTTTTTAGATTCATTAGATCTTTAGAACGGGGCCAGTGTGACAATCTCGTTAAAGTCATACGTATCTGGAGACTTTATCATGAGCACTTAGTTGTTGGTTAGAACATTTTTTGTTACATATTGTTTTAGATTATGAATATGGTGTTAACTAGTCTTTTTAGATGTTTGACTATTCTTCTTTGTTGGTTTGGTTGCTCTAATCATACCTCATTTTTCTTGTGCTTTTATGTGTTTACTAAGTGTGGATATGCACGATGACACACACACATGTTTAATAAGGGAGAAGTTTTGTCCTGATTTCATACTAACTCTTTCTTGCTAGTGTTGTTATAAGCTTCTCCAATCAAGCATGACTCATATGCATTGCATGAGATAACCTGCGCTAACATTTTCTGCAGGTCGAATCTTTTATTTTTCTTTTAGCTTGTATTTAATAGAGTCTTATGATCAAATTTGTATCAAAAGTAAGGTACGAACAAGAGTTTCAAGGTGGATGTCTTGTCGAACCACGTGATGGGAGTCGGGAGCAGCAGCTCGTGTCTCGTACCTTAATTCTGAATTTATATTCTTGTATAGAATTAGGATCGATCACATATATGCGGAGTTGGGCAGTTTTTTTTTGCTTTCATTGGAGATGTTGTCGACCCAACAACATTGGTCTGTTCTTATGTTTCGATTGGTTTGTCATGATTTTTGTTTCATGGCTGCTTTATTTTCATGTTTCTTTCTGTTGGTTGTTTATCTGTGATTGATCGCATAAAAATAATCTAGGCTTATTAAGGACCCTAAAATTCTAAACTTTCTACAAAAACTTAATGATAAAATATTTAGATTAATTAAAATTTAGGCCTAAAATATTATGATTTTTTATAAACCCGCACTTTACTTTTCTATATGGCCTTCGAGCTAGCTTTGAAATAGGTTGCATAACATGGATATCACCCAAGCCATTCTAATAGGGCCTTCTCATATGCATATACCCAAGGAAAAGTCTCTGTGCTTCTTCATACCTGACTTGAGCAAGCATAATTTTTTACCTAAGAAGTTGTCTAGTACGACTAGAGTGCTAGAGACATCCCCAGACCAGACGGGTATAAGTCATTTGTAATGAGTATTTCCAGCTTTGTAGTTAAATCTCCTTTACGTTTCTTTCTAACGACGGCTCTGTCATTTTTCTTGGCGAGCGTAAGTCTCATCTCTTTGACATTTATCTGTTTAGGGTCATGAGAACTAGTTTCCTTCATTTGACTTTAGGTCTGCTAAGACTTCCTTGGATGATGCAATAATGGAGTGTTGACAAAGAGCCCCCGGTTTTGATGGGTCGACTACCTTCACAACAAGGTAGACTTAAGGTCTGCATAGCTTAGGATGATGAATTTGTGGTGACCTAACCCGACTACCTCTACATTTGTTAGGGGATTTTTTCCTTCATGTTAACACCTTCTGTGAGCCATTTTGATTTCTTTGACACATTGCTAATATCATCTTGTGAGCCTCGCATGCCTAGGCGTTGCCGACCTAGTGGTTATTGTGATTTTCCCTCTGCCCTATGGTTCGATATAAATGTCAAAAGCATTAGGATTTTCCCTTAAAATGATTTAAATCCATTAGTTTCCCAAATAATCAAAATTCATTGAATATGTAAGCAATATCCTTTTTATAAAGAATTTTCTTGGGTATTGCTCAAAATGTAATTAACCAAATGAAATAAATATATTCATTTGTGAGCTGCTCTTGACTCCAAAACAAGCATTTATAATTGATTTTATAGTTGTGGGTTGTTTTTAAAAGCTCCTCTGCGCGAATATATCTCCAAGGTATTTTCAATATGATATCGTTTCGGACGTATGCTTTGAGCCTATCCATGTGAAGTTCACTTTACAAAAGTTTTTCACATTTCTTCTCTCATTTGTCAATTGCCCGTTGTATATCATTCCTTTTGGTTCTTCTCTTCAGATCATTCATTATATCCGAGAGAGAGATTTACTCAAATAAGGGAATGATACGAAGATTATAAATAGACAAGATGTCAACTCATTTAAAAATAAAAGAGAGAAAAAGAACGAAAACAACAATGTAAATTATAAAGTGGACTAATCTTGAGAATGGTTGTTTTGGTTGCATGACGTGGGTGCCCAAGTCTTCAATGCCAAAGAGAGTGGATGCATATGGGGATTGGGTTGCGGCAAGGGCAGAGATAAGATATAGACCATTTTTGCTAGCAAGGTGCTTGTAGGAGGATGTGGTTGGTGCTCCGACCCTTAATGACAAAGCCAGAGGGAGTGAATGACATTTTATAATTATTGTCAGAGACTAATCTATTAATGGAGAGAAGGTTGTGAGTTAATAAGGGAGAGTGAAAAAACTTGGAGAGGTGGAGCTTACGTTGTGGTTTTGGTAAGATGCCTTGTACGTGTGGGTGATAGGAATATAGGAGCTGTCACTGATGATGACCGAGTCAGAGTCGGTGCATTTGTTGAGTCAGTTGAAGATGGTCATAGTTGAGTTCAGGTCGGTGGTGGCATCCAAATGTGGTAACCAATTTTCTGTGGATGGTTTGTTGGATGTCGTGAGTGTTGCCTCTTGTTTGGTGGAAGGATAGGAGTTGGAATTGGTATGATGACAACATTGAAGAGTACTATGACTAACCTTCCCACAAATTTGATATGTTGGACGATTAGTAGTGGAGCCTTGATTTTGATATCCCCTTCTTGAATTTGATGATCCTCGAGTGTTCTTATGATGATGAGGGTGTCATCCACATTTGCAAAAGTCGTTGTTGCTGCCTCGAGTAGTGAACAGGGACATGACATTAGCATTAGTTCCTTTGGCAACTTTCACGAGAGATTTATCTCTTCACTGCATTAAGGGAGTACATGTTGTCGAGCTTAATTGGTTTTGATATGGTTTGGATGGTTGTTTTGAAGGATTGGTGTGAAGCGGATAAACGATTAAGGATGTGGAGAATGATGTCCTCATGATCAATAGATCTGCCACTCACTACAATGTTGTCAATTAGAGATTTGATTGTCAATAGGTATTGCAACATAGTTTGATTTTTCATGGAAATGTTGTGGATTTTGTTTCGAAGTTGAATTACATGGGATTGATTGGTTGATTGCAAGAGAATGTGAAGGGTTTTCAAATTCCTTGGGTGGATTTAAGGTTAAGAATGTAGGGTAAAATGGTGGGAGATATAGTACAAAAAATTGTCGTTGATAAGTTTTGATATATGAATTGCCATTGGAGAAAATGATTGGGAATGGATCAGCCATCAGGGGTGTTGATTTGAGATGCAGGGCAAGTGGTAGTTCAATCAAAAAAGCTCTCAAATCCTTTGGCTTTGAAGAGTTTGTAGATTTGAGGTTTCTAGGTTGGGTAATTTTCTGTAGTTAGTTGGACATTAAAAACTTGAGGGATGGGGGGATGGAGACTTCAGTCATATCCAATGACTCATTGACAGCTTCTAGATAGGTTTGAGAAGAGTTCACTGATATTGGTGATAGAGAGAAGGGAAGAAAAGGAAGAATTAAAGAGATTTAAAACTTAGGGAATAAAAGAGAAACTTGATCTTCTTTTTGGAAGCGCTGATATCATGTTAGACTCCAACGGTGATTGAATGTAAGTTGTTGTAGATAGTCTTTGTAATTAGCATCGCTACAAGCAATGAATTAAGCTAAAAAAAAATCATGTCCAACAACAGATAAAAGGTAATGTATCTTCACAGTAAGGGCTTGCCTTTTACAATATAAGTATGCATATATATAATGAGAATAAACTATTTTAGAGAAGAGTAGTGGTCCAAACTTACTTAGTTATTATCAGAGAACCTGGAATCACATATGCCCATTTTACTTCCTATGGGTATAGGGCTGTTATGAGGCTTTCCTTAAAAGAGAGTCGAGAAAAATGAGGAATGGTCATGCAAATGAAAATTCTATGAATGGGTTAGATAATTAAGTCAAAATTATTTTCATTCTCATGTAAATAAAATTTATTAATAATAAAAGAATCATTTGACAGAGAAAAGCTCAACTGAAATCTCATTTGACATTCCTATGAACTGTTGTATTAGAGGATTGCTAGTTGATTTGTAGCCAACAAATTCATTAGGTGAAATCCATCAAGATTGTAGACGAAACCAAAATATATTGAAAATTTAATATATAATTAATAATTTCATTGTAATGTTGTCAAAAAGATTACAAGGCTGTGTGGAGAGGGAAGATATTACAACAACAATGGAAGATATAGTCAAAATTTCAGTTTATAAAATAAGAATGAGAAAAAAGATACAATTCAATTTAATTTTAGAGCACAGTCAATCACAACATATTAGATGCAAACACTTACCCATCACCATATTAGGGTTAATCCTTAGATCCAACTGCTACATCAAATAGATGTCATACATACATATAGTGCAATTTTTTTTCTTTAATTTGGCAATCCCTCATGAAATGATAATGTGACAACTTCTTTATATATATGGGCACCATTATATAACATGAATATATACATACATGCATACATACATACTTGCATGCATGCATGCATATACATACATACGTACGTACATATATACATGTCACTTTTTTCCAAGATGAATGAACTTTACTTGTTTTTTAGGAATTCCATAGAATTTCTATAATCAACTTTGTTTGTAGTGCTACTTTTGTCCTGATTTAGATGGGAACAATAACAAGGCAAATAATAATCTTTGAGAGCCTTAAACTACAAAACTTCACGTGTTAGAAATACTGAAATAGTATATGCCTGTATAATTTTAAAAATCATATCAACCAAACTAGATTAGTACTAGACAATAAAAGCATTAAAAAAATATTAATTACTTTATTTACTCAAATTGATTCATGTATAAAAAAAAAAATCAAGGGTGGATATATATTTCATAATTAGGACAGCACCCAAACATATACGTATGACAATTATTGTACAAAACTTGCAATTACATTAATTGCTTTAAATTTCTTTGCATAAACACCATCTCTGCATATAATTTTTACCATCAATCACTTAAATAAGAAAATATTCATACATACATATTCATATATGTTGATGGGGCATTTAACAAATACTTTCAAAGGGATGGGGCATTTGCATATATACCACCTAACTCTTATGCATTTATGGGCCTAACACCGAAATTGTTTCTTACATCTATATATATATATATATACTATCTAAATCTTTCTAAGGCCAGGTGGTATGTATGTAAAAATTAAAGTTTGAAGAGTTAGATATGTAATTATATAGGCATTAAGAGGTATGTACGTAAATTTCCCTATATATACTGTGCATGGAATCTGCATGCAAAGGAGTATATAGAACGTACGTAACTGAAGATATTCAGTATGGAAGCTGAAGCTGGCAAATAGATACGCAGTATCGATTCTCCCTCTGTAACGTTCCAAAATTAATTAAGTCACTACGATAACTTAATTATTCCATTTTTTTTTATAGCAATATTAAATATATTAAAACAAGAAGGCAACAAAAGGATATATGGCTAATATTATTAATTAATTTCTGGTCTTGCGCTAATATTGACAAAATATTTCCTTTTTTTGACATCCATAATTGCAAAAATTTGTTAACCACCAGATCTGATGGATGAGATGAGCTTAATTACCATAAATCATGAAACGGCGACAGCGATGTTTAAATATATATGAAGGGAGTGCTGATGGGAGGGATTAGATTATTGTCTGGTAATGGAGAAGAATTGCTTTGTTAGAAGAATGAATGTGCCTGGCAGCAGATATTTGCTGCCGGCTGAACCGAATTATGATCAGCAGCAGCTGTTGAAGCCGTTGGATCCTTTTTCAACGGTGCTGAATGCTGCAGCTGCTTCAGATTTTCATTGCAGTAAGGAATTTAATAATTCAAATTTAGCTGGTATTGTTGCTGCTGGGAGAAATCATAATGAGAAAGTTGATAGCCACCTTCTCATGCAGGTATAATCTCTCTCTCTCTCTCCCCATACAATTTAGTCCCCATACAATTTAGCTTCTTCGCTTCTTCGTTGATTGTTAGAAGGAAAATTAACTTGCAAAATTTTGCTTTTAAAGATTAATATATCAAAAAAGTATGTTTGAAAAATTAATTAGCTGTTAATCATCCACTAAATTGTCAATTTCATGATTAAATAATTAGTACTTGCATGCGTTGGTTAAGCACTTTCTATTGATTGAATTATATTTGGTTAATTAATAGATTTTAATTAAAACATGATTAGTTAGTTTTAAATTACGTTCTACATTGATTATTTATAATTAAATATTTTTAAAATGTATTGATTAATTGATTTATATATCATTAATATTAAATAAATGATTAAGTAAGTATTAGTTGGTATTTTTTTTTTATTTTGACTTAAGATATTAGTTATTGATAATAACTCAATAGAAGATTTAAATGATTTATGATTCTTGATATTTATGGATTTAACTTCCAGTTATAATTCTTGATGTATAAATTATATATTATAGGTTTGAATAATACTTGTTAGCCTAAAGAATTGAGACATAACTATGCACAAAATATCATTTTCATAATTAAATAATCACCATTTACGTGGGTTAAGTTCCTTCTATTAATTAATTTATATTTAATCAATTTAATAAACCTTAATTAATATACATGATTAACCTACATCGTGATTAGGTTCTACCTAAAACTATTTATAATTAAATATTTTTGAAAGTATATAGATTAATCGATTTATACGTAATTAATATCGATTTAATCAGTAATTATACATTAAATAGCATTTTCATAAAACTGCCTTGACATATCTTTCATTAAATACTATTTATCTAGGTTATGCAATTAGGCAAACAATTAATTTTCAGCAGCTTATTATGCTAAATTAACACATAATCAATACATTTAAGCATTAATTTGCTTAATTAAAGCCAAACTATTCATCCAATTAAATGAAATATTAGATTAATAACCAAATACCATATAGCATATTTAAATGATGATTTAAGTAATTAATATATTTTTAAATTAGCTTTATTTAATCAATATTAGATCCATACTAGCATCAATTAACCAACTTCAAAAGCATATTTATATAATAAATCAATTTTATTCGTTTAGATTGTTTCACTTCTAAATTAATTAATAACAATTCCATTAACTAGTTAATTTAATTAAATTTTTGTCTAATAAATTTGATAATTTTAGCTCAAATCTAGGTTATATCAAGCCAACCTAATGCTAGGCCACATTTTCCTCAAATAAATTGAATGACTTCGCCTTGATTAACTTGAGATTTTATCGTTGATAGGGTTTTAAATAAAAGGAGATAGAATATTTAACATCAACTTTAAAGGAGACAAATTTTAAACTAAACATAATTATTAGAGAATTTAATGATAAAAATTTATATTGTACATTATAAATTACACATAAGAAAAATAGTTTTTTTTTTTTTCAAAAATATAGTTTTTTAAGAGAAAGAGAATATATAATCACACATCTTTTTATATTTTATAATAAATAAAAATGTTTTTTTAAATTAAAAAGAAATTTTGAGTTTGAATTTTTTTTTTCAAATCTAAAAGAAAATTTATTAGATTAATGGTGTGAGTCAGCCATGAATGCCAAACCTAACCAAACTCTTCTCTTCTTGAAAAAAAAAAAAACAGGCCTTGCAGCTGAATGCAATTCTTGAACAGCAGTGGAAACAACAGCTCTCATCCCTAACAATGACCTTAAAAGCGAAGTTCATCAATTTACTGATGCAGAAAGAGAAGCACTTGGCGGAAGAGAAAAAGAAAGCCATGAAGCTGATAGCACTCCTAAACGAAGCTTTATTAGAAAAAGAAAAATGGGAGAAGACTGCAAGGAAGTTGAACAGCATGGCTTCAGCTCTCAGCCAAACGTTAGAACAAGTTCAGCAACCTTGTCTTTCATCTACCGGAGAACTGAAGAAAGAAGAAGATGAAGATGAAGATGAACCCTCAGCGAAGAGAAAGAAAGGAAATATTAGCCATGACTCATCTTCTCTTTGCCAGAGTTGTAGATGGAGATCTGCCAGTGTGCTTGTATTGCCTTGCCGCCATCTCTCTTTGTGCAAGCAGTGTGAAGTTTTGCATTGTAGGTGTCCGGTATGTAAATGTATTAAGAAAGGGGCGATGGAGGTCCTTGTCTCTTGAATTGTGGGGGGGAAAGATGCAAAATTTTTTTGTGATTTTGCTTAAAATAGATTTCTCTCTTTAAAATCTGAAAAAAAAAAATCATTTTTCAGAAAATTGTGACTTATCTCATCCAAAGTCAATGTTATTGCAATTTACTTTCATTTGATGTTTCATTTTAATGATGCATGAGGTTTTATTTCTAAGGCAAAATTAATTTTTTTTTTTTTGCATATTAATTAATGAAATAATTGTTAAGTACATTTTAAAGGTAATTATATTTTCATGTGTGACATGTATTTGATTTTGGTTAAATATTTGGGAGTACATGGCTCCATATGCCAAACGAGTGAGTAAATAATCAACCACAAGGTCCAAATCCAAAAAAAGGAAAAAAAGGCTATTAATCATAGTTGTTCAATAACTAATTTGAGCAAAATTAAGACCTTTATTCAGAGAATTATACTTATCATAAGAAATTTATGTCTAATGATTATATGTTTTTCCTTATGCGTAAACGATTCTGATTAGAAATAGAATTTGATAGAAATTATGATCCAAATAGCTATTCAGACAAGCTCACCCAAGTAGATGAATGTTTTTTATTGGTATTAAATGGATGCAACTACAACAACAACAACAATAACAACAACAATCATTTATCCCACCAAGTGGGGTTGGCTATATGAATCCTTTTTCTCCATTATGTCCTATTGTCGTATTTTCATTTATTTTAGTAGATTAATACTATTTTTTAAATAATACGCGCAAATCGTTTTAGGTCAATCTCTACCTTTCTTAACATAAGTTGAATCTAAAGCATCTACTCTCCTAACCGAAGCATCAGATAGTCAACGTTTAATGTGATCAAACCATCTAAAACAACTCTCTAATCTAGTGTGCCACTAGACCTATACCAACCCTATCAAAGATATAGTCATTTAGCATTTTGTCTCTAAATGTCAGGCTACTCATCCACCTAAGCATTTTCATCTCACCAACACTTAACTCCATTTTATGCTTCTCTTTAAAAGGCCAACATTTTGCACAATTGAGCATTGCGCTTCTCACCACCATCTTACAAAATTTTTGTATAAGTATAAGTGTTAATTTTCTATAACAAAATAGGCTCGATGCATTCCTTCATTTCAACTTGAATTCTATCTAATAAGATCACCGTCTATATCACCATCACTTTGAACAATAGACCCGAGATATCTAAAACGTTCACACGTTTTCTTGGTATTAAATGAATTATTTAAAAAATCATATTTGCCAAATAAAGCTCCCATATTTAAGGAATGGAGATGATAAATAGGAATTTCATAATATGGGTGGAGATAGATATGCCTAAGACCAACTATTGCCCTATAAATTAGGAAAAGAATTATCATGAGCAATAAATGATCTTACGGAAATTGAGCATATCGGTAGTTAGTAATAGGATTTCATAACTAATAATAATTATTCTAATCAAGATTAATTAGGAATTGACTAACAAATTTATTATAGATTTTAATTATAGAAAAACAATAAAAATAGAGTAGAACAATAGTTTATGATTTAAAAAAAAAAAAGAGTAAATAAATCTAAAAAATGATAAATATTACAAAATATTTTAGATATATTGGTTTAATATTTTAAAGAGATTTAAATCCAAAGAGCCAAGTATATTTTCCACATTAAAATTTTAAAGCTAAAACAAGAGTTTTTAAGGTTTTAGTTATCACGTGTTTGCAGACTCTATATGTGTTTTTGACCTTAAATCAACTTATTGACAAAATCCAACCTATATACTCTTCCTATCCCTCTTAAAAAAACTCCCAAACTTAATGTGTCCCCATCGAGGGAGCTAATTCCTCAAGTCCCAACTCTACTTCTTCAAGTTGTTTTATAACTTTCATTTATCCTTTTTTTGATAGGAAGTTATTTTTTCAAAAGGTTGCATTGTTCATAAAAGAAAGTTTAGTTCGAATCATCTGATTAATTCATAAAAAATCCCAAATTCTAAATAGAATTATTGCATTATAAAAGTGAAAGTATTTATTTTAGAGATGATCAATATTGAGAGCTTTCACCAAGTTTCTATAGCCAATGATACATATATCTCTACTAAACCCATATATATTCCACACAACAATGTTAGAAAGCAAGATGAATTATTGAAATGAATGGGAACCAACCCATTTAGGCCGATCTTTTTTAGAATAGGTAGAAGATAATGAGAGAGAGAGAGAGAGAGATACAATCAATTACCATTTTTTAATTTGGTATGGACTGGCTAGAAGTAAAAAGAGGTGGATGGGAAGTGGCATTGGTAGACATAACTGGGGAATCTGTGAAGGATGGTTTATAGACCACATAATAGATTCATCATTTTTAATTAGAGTGTAAATAAAATAAAGTAGTGTTATTATATATGATAGTTGAACAAAAAATCAAGGTTTGGTGGTTCAATTAAAGGAACTGTGTGAGGAGAAATTAATGAAATGATTATGGTTTTACCAAGGATGCTTGATGATGTTAAATTATTTTTATTACTACTCCCACCTTTTGCCATCCTTGATGATGTTAAATTTTTTTTTTACAACTTCTACTTTTTCCACGATTAATGTGATTGGGAATTGTGGATGGTGATTTGTAGTGGGTGAAGTTTCTGACAAAGTGTCACAAGAGCTATTTGAAGAGGATTTTTATTCATATAACACTGGCTGCTGAATATTCCTCCCCTTAAATAAGATGGTAACAAAATCAGATTAAAGGAGATGATGACATGATCTTCATATTGATCCGAGCAAAGGCGAGCTAATAACTCTTGGTTGCTAACATGTCAATTGTTAAGAGGATTTCAATCTTAATTGAGGGTCTTTCACCAATGAATAAGGGAGGCTACAATTAAAAAAAATTTCCAAGTCCTCAAGCCAACTAAATTTAAATAGAAAAAAAAAATCGTATGTTATAGAGATGAGATCAATTATATTAGCTTTTAGTTTCTTGATTTTGGAGATCGCTTGTAGCATTTTATCATAGAAAGGCCATTTAATGAAAGTTTACCAACCAATGCTAAGCTGCACTATTTCATGCCCTCTTCTACCTTTGTCAAAGAAAGACAATGTATCTCCATCGCTGTGGATGTATAACTCAGATTTGAAGTTTGTGTTGTTGGGAGTCTAGAATGAACATAACTAGCAGTTGATGACCAAAGAGGGAGAGAGCTTAGAGACAACGGATGAAAGAGAGAAGTGACGTAATCAGACGAGCGACAAAGGCCTAACGACCTCGTCGGATTATGGGTTCCTTTCAGAGGCATTAATAAGGTAGGAAGATGAACTAAAAGGGGAAGGATCAGGGAGTGCTAAAAGGAACCCTAACTGAGCTTTAGCTAAGCCTTTAAAACCAATGATTGTTGATCCCACTCAATTATATAAGGTTTAAAAGTTTTAGATGCAACTTGTCCTCTGCTAAACCTGAAACTAATCTACAAAATTGACAAACTCTCAAGATAATGTCTTTTAATACTAACGCTTTTAACTTAAATGATTAGTCTATAAGAATTATTATAAAGCTAATTGATAAGTGGTTAACTGGTTGAAAAGTATCGTTATTTGTTGTAATGTGAGTTGGAATATATTATTAACACATAAAAAATCATTTTGTGTTCATTATTCTTAAAATTTGAATGTGAATATCTTTTTTTGTGGATTTTACTTGAGAATACTATATTACCTAGATGAGTGAAAGCTAATTTTTATTAGATGTTAAAAAAATAAAACTCCTTTGTTGAATGTAGAATTTAAATCTTTCTTTGCTAAGCTATAAATTATGTTGATGATTGGATAAGACTACAAAAAGAGTTCAAGCAAAACTTGAATTATGGAGGTCTACATTGGAGTCTAAAGGCTTTTATTTGAGTAGAATTAAAATTGAATACATTAAATATATTAATTTTAATAACAGTAGGTTTAGCGGCAGAATTATAACTATGGGTGATCCAATCATTAAAAGGTGTGAACTTTTTAGATATCTCAGGTCTATTGTTCAAATTGATTGTGGTTTAGATGAGAATGTTATTAGTATAATTCAAGTTGGTTGGTTGAAGTGGAAGAATGCATCGGGTCTATTGTGTGATAGAAAAATACCATCTAGACTGAAAGAAAAAAAATTAATAAGATGGTGGCGAGACCTGCACTGCTCTATGGCACAAAATGTTAGCCTTTAAAAGAGAAGCATAAAACAAAGTTAAGTAAGCATAAAACAAAAGAGAAGCATAAAACAAAGTTAAGTGTTACTGAGATGATCATGCTTAGGTGAATGCGTGGCTTGACACTTAGGGACAATATGCAAAATGAATATATCCGACATAATATCAATGTAGCTTCGGTGACGGACAAGATTAGAGAGAGTCTTCTTAGATGGTTTGGCCACATTAAACATCGACCATCTGATAATTTGGTTAGGAGAGTAGATATTTTAGATTTGATTTATGTTAAAAAAAAAGCAGTAGTCCCAAAAAGACTAGGGCATATTATATAAAAGACTAGAACATATCACTTATTAGTAGACTTAACTATCTAAACATAAAATGAGTACATATTGCGCGCGTAGAGTCTTCTTGTTGTTGTTTGCTAAGTTATAGATTTTCTCAATTCCTTTTTTTTTTAATATTTTTAATAAATAAATTTTATTTCTTACAAACATATCTCCTTACCTATGCTTGATTTTCTAATTTAAACGATTTTGGAGATGTAGATGTAAAATTAAAATTTTGGTGTTGCATGGAAGATAATTACATAGAAATTGGTTGCATTGTAAGTAAATTTCCCTTTTTCCTTTTTTTTTTTTAATTTTTTGTCTAATTGCCTGATTTATTTGCTGTTCTCTTCTGTCTCTTCTGTCTGTTATTCGTTTGTGCGCCAATTCCCAGACATTATCTCTGCCAGGACTAGATTCGTACGAGCAGAAAAGCACAAACAACCACAATTTCGCATCTTTTCTCACTACCTGAGAGCACTAGTAATCTCAAACCACCATCAGCTTTTGTAAGTGCTAATAATTGGCAATTAAACCCTAAACCACCGCCAATGGACTCTGTAGAAGAATGCGGGAAACCAGGGCATCGACGATCGAGGCCTAGCTCGCTTGATTTGAACGTCCATGGCCAAAACATGGCCGTTTCTTCACTTCATCCCTTATCTGCCGACGACGCTTATACAAAGAACAGTCTCGCAATCTCCACCTGTAGCAGATCCAACTTGTTCCCTAGTCCTGGAACTCCGAACTATGCCGGAGTTTCATCTTACCAGAAAGGATGGAGCTCAGAGAGGATCGCATTGTCGGCCGACCGTGGCCGGAGGTATGGGGCCAATGCTCTCATGTTCCCTTTTAGTAATGGAAGGACAATGCCTTCCAAGTGGGAAGATGCCGAGAAGTGGATTTGCAGTCCAGTATCGAGTGATGGTTTAAGGAGGCCTCTGATTCTCCCACGTTATCAAAGAAGGCCCAAATCAAAGAGCGGTCCTCTTGGAACTCCTGCATTTACTGGTGGGGCTTGTCCATCAGCCTTGGCAGGTAATTACATAAGAATTGACTGGTACGTATGTATATCTTTTTAATATAATTTGGAAAAATAGAAAAAAATTAAATAAACAAGACTTTAAGAACAACTGAGAAAAGATAAGATGAAATTTAGGAACATTAAATTTCAAAACTAAGGCATTCAAAATTATTATTTGGTTTATGATATAGAAAAAATAAATACTAACTATTATGCTACATTTTAAATAAAAAAATATATTAATTTATTTAAAATTTAATCTTAAAAATGTGTTTAAAAATATTTTTTGAAAATTTAATTCATTCATTTATGACAAAAGTGCTTGTTTTTTAGTATTATTTAAATCGTACATTTTTATGTTATGTCTGACACATGTAGGAGGTGTGTTCGTATCTAGCACTGCATTGACACCGTACTATTTTAATAATTAAAAGTATTTGTGCATCATACTTTGTAGCACATGAAATTTGTAGAAAACCTCTCGCTAGCATACACGAGTTTGTGGAAATTTAGAATATCTATGAATTTTAATTTGAGTGCTTTTATCGATCCAACAACTTGTCATTTAGGATTTTTTAGAGCGTCTCAATTTTTGGTCATTTTGATTTATTTGGCTGAATCTAGAGTTTGTGAATCCAATTCAAAGAACTTTTTAATGTGCGTTAAGCATATCCTGTTCTTTTTCTTAGCATATCTATTTCATATTAAGTTGATTTATTCTCCAGTAAGTCTATAATAAATAGTTTTTGTACCATATCTTGCTAAAATTTTCAGATGATAGAGTTGACAGCATCAAGGAACCAGCCACCATGTTATCTCACACGACTATGAGAAGAGATGTGGGCACACAGATGAGTCCAGAGGGAAGCATTCCTTCTTCCCCGAAGGAGGGGCCTTCTCTATGTTTGTCTCCTTCGGCTTCTTGTACAACTACAGATTTGGAGAGCCATTTTTCATGCTTAGAGATCAGTAATGTAAAAGTAGACAATAGGGGAAGTGTGGCGAAGTGGTCAAAGAAACATATTTCATGGTGTTCTGATAAGAGTTCAACTGATATCATTGAATGGAAAAGGAAGACGGTGGAGTCTCCAGCTTCTGATTATGAAGTTGTAGTCACAGAAGGTCATGTGTCAGAGTATGTTCTTATTCATTTCCATTTTATGGCTCTTGTCTTTTTGATCCTCACTTAGTTCTGCCTAATTTTATATAAACTTATTAGACTTTGCAATTGTTTGTAGATAATCTTTGAATGCTATGAGAGAAATTTAATTGCATTAAAGACCCTTTGATTTTTTTCATGAATTTGAACACTTTTTAAAGCTATGTACACGATCGAGGATCGGTTGCTAGACTTCAGAGTGTTTGGGCTATCGACATTTTTGACTGGCTATTATTCCCTGCAGAGGAAGTAATTTTGGCTAATTTTGTATTGTTGCGATGGGTTATGATTTTGTAAATAATGGAAGCTTTCGTCAATAATGTTCAGAAATTGAAGCCCTGTCCTATTTTATCCATGCTTTATTACAATTTTCAAGCATTTGCTTCCTGTTTATGTTTAAACTGTGGTAATTAATTTTTTAATTTTGCGTCTTCTTCAGATAAACTGTTAGATTTTAAATATGAAATTCAAATTTTTTTTGTTAATATATCATTACTTATATTAATCATTTTTAACCATTCAGGTTCTGGTTTTCCTTTGCACCATTTCTACTTGGCATGAAATATAGAGGGATCTGACTTGTTTCTGAAACCTTTTTTTCTTTCTCAAGATATGACAGAGAAGAGGGTAAGCTCATGCCTTGCGAAAACCCGCTGAAAGAAAAAGTTGACTCTGCAGTACCTGAAGCTGAAGTGAGTTTTTGCTCAAGAAGAAATTACTTCTGCTGTTTATTTAGAAAGCTTTATTATGCCTTCTGTTTTTAAATTTTCTAAGATTAAATGACCTGTGAGTTGATTAATTACAACTTCTCCATCAGACTAAATTTGAAAAGAGAGGCTGTTCTTCGACATGCAAGATTCTAAAAAGACTCAAGTCAGTGCAGAAGAAGGCGGATGATATGCAGATTTCAGTGGCGGAAAGACGAGCCCGCCTGGTCTCTAGGACTAGCCAAAGGTTTCCATACTTTGGAAAATATGTGTTAATGTCTTCTTTATGCGCCTGCTTCACCAGCCATGATTTCTAACTGAAGGAAATTTTCCTCACGCAGCAACTAGGCTCAACTTCGACGTAATTCCAACTTTCTAACCTTTAATTTATTTGAAATCTTTTATTGTTTTATATATCATTCTTTTTCTTGAAAGTTTTTCTCCAATTGATCTGAGTGCAGCTTCTATGTAGGAAGAACATAAAAATGTTCACTGGTTTGGGCAGCAAGCATGATTTTAGGATGAGATTAAACAATCCTAATGGGGTGTTTGCTGCAAGTAGGATTTAAGTTATTTAGAATTTATTAAATCTGATAAATTCGGATTTATTAAATCTAAATATTATTAAATCCAAAAATAATATTTGGTTCAATGGTTCAATTAAGATTAAATCCAATTTATTCCATTTAATGTGTTTGATATAAATCTATTTAAACTATCTCTTTTGCTAAATCTGTTAAATCGAACTTATAAGTGGATTTAGTAAATCCGGATTTAATAAATGGAAGAAGAAAAAATTGGATTTGACTTAATGGCGAATTTATCTAACCTATTTATTGTGTTTGGTTGGATTTAGGTTAAATTTAATTTAAATCCTCTTAAAATTATCTTACCAAAGCTGTCTTTTTGAACATTGAATTACAAGTTAGTTATATGCTTTTGTCTGATCTTTGGCTCCCATGGCATCTAGTTGTGATGCTTCTGCTTTACGCTTTGTTTTGCTTTATATCATCTATCCCATCTCCTGCAAGGTTTTTATGCCCTTGAAAGCCTAATTTCTATTAGAAATTTATAGAACAATCAACCTCCATGACAGAAATAATGAATTCTATAACCATATTAAGTATTGAAACTAAATAAGTGGAAGCAGCAAGAGATTATTGGGCCTTGTTGGCTTCTCTTGTCAACTAACAACCATGTGTTTAAGTATGTGCATCCCTTGAGAAATTATTAGTAGCTAACTATGTATGTAGCTTTACATGCCGTATGTGCCAACACACATCACAATAGTATATCAATTGAACTCCAATGTATAGCACAATTGATGAAAATAAAATGAAGATAATTGTGGTTCAGAGTAGCATATGGTGTAATCAAATTTTGTGAGGAAAGGACTAATTTTACAGAAATATCCGCTCTAATTCAAAATGTCATCCTATGTCTGCAGCCGGGAAGATTTAAAAGGCCATTTGCAGGGCTTGGAGAGAAATGGAAAGAGCAGCAGTGGAAATGGGTACTTTTGCTTGCAAATTCTGGCTAAAACAAATTATGAATTATGTTGCGACACTTCTGCTTCTGTACAACTTTGATTTTGTCATTTTTACAGTGCCGGTTCTTATTTATTTATTTTTCCTATTTGGACTTCAGTTTTTGGTTGCTGGAAAGTTAATTGCTTTGTAATAAAGTTTTGAAATTTGATGCTTTGTATTGGCGGCTTTGATTATAAAAAAATGTGTTTTTTTTCTTAACATGTAATTTATAGATGTGACAAGTCTGGGGTGTTGGATAAGCACCCAACACTGTATGACTCTTTAATCAGAAGTGTCTGTAAATCATATCATATATATTTAAAAAAAAAAAAACTAAAAAAATTCAAATATGCTTATCCTTAAAAACTTAATTAGAATTTAATAATTAATATTAAAATGAATAATAAAATATTAGATTTTGATGGTTATGATGTATTAAATCATTTATGTTTATTCTTTATATGTAATATTTTTAAAATTATTGATGCTTATTTTTAGTTAACTTTTGTTACTTTTTTTATTTTTTATTATTTTTTGTCCCCTTAATATTCTTCAAGGTTTTTTAATTTGTTCTTTGGCCACTATCTTGATTTATGAACTATACAATAATTATTTATAATTTTTGTTCTTAAATATCATTACTTCTCAACTTTATAATTGTAACATCATTTTTATTTATTTCATATTTATATAATTTGTGAGATCAATATATATATATATATACAAACATATCTCCTTA